CTGCGCGCCACCCGGGAGCCGGAGCGGGCTGTGCGCAGAGTTATTAGTGGGCACGTCGCTCGCACACCGCTAGGGTGGTATGAGCGGGCTGCTCTCAGAGGATTACCAAGGCACGTCGCCAGGCGCCAGCGCCGGGGGTGCAGTATGAGCTCCTGTCGGTAATCTGTTCGCGCGGCACGCACGCACGGTTATATGGTGAGCATGAGTCATGCAGAGGAGCAGCTGAATGAATGACGAGGATTACGTCGTGCTGTCGCGGAGAAACAACCCGCTGTGAGCTGCTCAGACGCTGCATTGTGCTGGATGCAGTAACAAGTGGGCTAATCCCCGGCCAAATACTGACCCAGTCATGTCACTGGTATACTAGTCCCGACCCTGACACCAGTTGGCCGCTGGGCTTGCGACACAGACGTCCAAAGAATGCCAAGCCCCAGCAACGTTAACAAGCCAATGGCATGTGCACAGACATTCTTCGGCACTCGTAAATGAAACAATTAATAAATCAAGTAACTGTGTAAGATCTGATTGTATGGTCAGGTCTATAGCTGAATAGTTTTTTTTTGTCGTTTTACAAGTACTTTTTTACCTGAGAACTTTAATATCTTAGTTTACATTCCTATTCTTTCCAGTTTTTTCCTTAGAATTTTGACATCCCATTTGCCATCCGTATCCTGATAACCTAAAAGTAGAATAGTTTGATACATTTTTTATATCATCTGACATGTAGCAAACAAACGACATCCTTCACTCGTGCGGGCGCTGTCCACCGTTCGCCAGACGCTGTGAACAATAGCCGCCCTTCTGGCGGTGTTACGTCAGACGGGGCTTGTCGCTCTGCTATCGCTCCGGAGAGGTGTCCGGCCAAATAACGCGCCGTGTCCGGCCAAATAACGCGCCGTGTCCGGCGCTCCGCACCCGTCCAGCCCTGCATCGGACAGTACCGGACGTGTCCGCTCGACAGGAACGGGCTCTGGACGTGTCCCACCGCCGGCGGACACCGTCCGATGACGGCCGGCACCCGCCTCCGGCCGCGATGACGGCGATGACGGCGATGACGGTGGTGGCGAGAACAGCACGAGCTGGTACAGAGGCGGTAGTTGTTCGCGAAGTGATTACTTCCGGATGTAGGGACAGAGCGTGAGAGCTCGCCGACAGAGCGTGGGAGCTTGGAGAGAACACCTCTCGTTGGATGGAGGGTGATGGGAATAACATGTTGATCATAATGTCAAATAATGCGAGACACAAGCATCTACCACCAATGCCAAGATTTTACATACTCCAAAAACCGTCAGAAACCAATTGGTTTATTCGTCATCAGGGTGGCCGGCTCACTGTGCAATGTAGCCTTCCCGACGTCAACTACCCACAGTTGGACCGTATCTCTGTCTCTGTCGTCCCGGTCGCCACAAATTCGTCCCACGCTGGGCGGTGAGCCTCCTCTCCGGCCGGGGGCGGTCGCCAGACCGGTGAGGTCGACTGGGGCGGTGGCGGTCCCGGTGCAGGACGGTCGGCCGCCGCCGGCGTCCTCAAGGCTGAGCTCGGCGGCTCGGCTGCATCCCGACCCCGGGGCGGCCGGGCTGATCGTGTATTCGGCGCGCCGCCGCCGTATATCTGAAGAAGCACCGCGCCGGCGCCGCTCGTACGCCGGCCGTGGTGTGTGTATTCTCACGAGGATGTCTAGAGAAGTAATACGTCGACAGGATACACACCGACTCGTCTGCCCTATCACCGTGTGACAGCCGGTGACCACAGATACCGCCGGGTGTGCCTCGGGTAGGTACTCTCGCTCTGCCTCATCATACAGTGACCCGGTTTGTTCGGTCTACCTCAGCGGCCGCCGCCGCCGCGCCGCCGCCTACCGAATCCATCAACTCTGCGGGAGATCTCAACACGGCGGGCTGTCCTTTCCCATTGTCCGCGGTCGACTCCCGCTGCTACTCTGAGCAAATACAGCGGCGCATTGTCTGGTCAGGAGCCTCTCCGGCGGCGGGTGCTCCAGCGGCGGCGATTGCCATGTTTTCAGGACGGCCCGAGGCAGTCGTTTGGAGAGCCGCCAGAACTCGAGTTATCACTCGGGAGCGCTGTCGATGGCAGAGTTAGTGGTAGGGAGTGGGAGGAGCGAGTGGGAAGAGTCGGGTGGCGTCACTCAGAAGGTCACTGATGAGGCCTGCCGAGCGACAGAGAGGTTCTCGATCGATCAATAGCTCTGGTATTTGCTCGTGCTTATTTGAGGTTTTGTCCGATACATTATCATTTTATTTTGATGGAGCATTTATATAGGTATTCATTTTTTTCAAACTTTTTCAGTTGCAAAGATATTTAATTGCATGCTCAGTTCTGGACTTCCGCATGCAATTTGATTATTGCTGTCGACCCCGTATCGCAAGTTTTCTGCACGATAACCCATACTCAAGGTGACGTACATTAAAAATCTGTCCATCGGTCCGCGGTTGTTGCGTGTGTGGCCGTACCAAGGGCCGTACGGTGGCCTGTCTTGGACACCGCTCATTACCAACTCTGTGTGTTTTTCCCCTCGGCGCGCCGCCGGTGATCCACCAAGTATCGGCACGTGCGTGTCCAATACCGACAGCCTCCTGCAGGCTTGTTGTCCGTCTCGGCTGTCTCGCGGCCCTCTCTGCAATCGGACACGCATGCTCCCAGTATGACTAGACGCTGGTGCTCTGCATTTATCTCGCTCGCTCTGAGCGGGACTCATTATCTCGGCCAGTCGGTCTGTGGGTCACAGTGGAATTCTCCGGGGCGATGGAACACAGTGTCCACTGGCACCGCTGCCCTGCCGCTATCCTCTGCCCCTGATTTGTTACAGCATGTCGCCGGCGTCCTGTTGAGAACTGAGAACAAAAGGGCAGTCGGGACGGCGCGGTGGCGGCGCGTTACAAATGACCGCCGCTCGACCGCCAGACACCGCGCACGACCGCACGCGCAAAAAGGCACCGCCTGAACGATGGCTCGTGTTGGGGGCCGTCTGCCTTAATGAAATTACCGGGTCATTACGTAATTAATAAAATTGGGCGCCGGGTGCGGCCTCTCATCGGCGCCAGCTGCGATCGGATTCATTCCGTCTGATAAATGATGCGGCCATGTTCGGCGAGTGCCTGTTGTTCCGCTCGGTCAGGTGGTCTGTCAGGTGCTGGGGGTACTCCTGGGGTCAGTGGATACGGAGGTCTAACGACAAGAGAACCAAGAAAAGACGAAAGATCACACATGTGTCACAGGTGTGATCTCGCAAAAAGTCGGTGGCCGAACTGTGTTGCTGTGTGCTATTTGTTTCTGTTTTGATGGAGTTGAACTTTATATTACGGGGTCTGATGATTAAAAAGGTTTTTAGTAGATTTCCAGTACTTCCTATTTTATGGGCAAAAATAAAAGACATGCTCGGTCGCCATATTTTCAACTACTATGAAACGGTCGGTCACAACTTTTAGCTCTCTTCCAGAAACATATAAAGGTTTGTGATTGGAAATATCAAAAGATGGTCAGTAAATCACATCATGGTCTAAAACGCGGCCAGACATTATGTTCACATCATTGTTTTAATGTTTCAAGTTTCGGGTTGTCTTTTCCTTGAAGCATCGTTTCATTTCCATTAATTGAAAGCGAAAGCTTCCGAAGGACGCGGTTCTTCTTTACGAGCTGAACGTGTCAAAACTAAGCTATAGTGGGACAGAATTAATAAACGGTGATGCCAAACTGAAAGCTGGAGGCCAAGCTAGACTGACACAGCTCACAGTCTAATCAACCGTATAAGAACCCTCAAAAACGGCACAGAGAGGCATCACATGACCATTGTGAACTCCTCTTCACAAAACTCCAGCAGGGATCACTGTGGCGGCACAAAGACGGGCCCCAACGGGAGCCGCAGTGTCAGAGATACGGTGACACCACAATGTCACGTTACCTCACAGCAGCACGGCGGTGTCAGTTTTCCCCAACAGCGGAGGCCGCCCTATCGGGAGCTGATCTCGTTTCAGGAGGTCGGTCGCGGTCAGGTCGGTCACGAGACAGGAGGATCCCTCGCCGGCGGCCGTCTGTACGCACGGAGCGCTCGGCTGAGATAGTCTGCTCGGCATTCGGACAGCCACAAAAGGCGCGCTGCTCTCCGTCTGGCTGACGTTTAAGGCACCATCTATTATGGAGGGGGCTCTCCCGAGGCCAGATTGACAGGACACAGCTGAAATGCTGACCGATTTGACGTGCGCCCGGCGAGGTGGAAGAAAAGGAGCATTGGAAAACCACCAAACGACTTTAGAACGTGTCGGCCTGGATCACGTTATGGAAGACCCCTTTATACGGCTGGTAACAAGTGTGCCATCAAAGAAGCGGCACATGCTCTTTGCACAACAGCTCTTGCACGTGTTTTGTGCTGACTTCTTAGCCACAAAATATAAACATTGAACGACTTGGTCTATGATGCTAGGCAGCTCTCCTTATCAGAGTATGTAGATATTGTTCAGTCAGTTTTCAAATATCGAACAACCTTCTACCAAGCCTCATGAATCGTGCACCACATTTGTGCACTTCAGTTGTTATTTAAAAGAGAAACATTAATATCGTTTGCTATTCTAGGTTATAAATAACCGCGAACTTTAGGAAGCCCGTCTGTTCCGAAGTTAATCACAATCGACTTCAAACATGCAATTTGAGTTTGACACGTTTTGCGGCCAAAAATAACATTTGCAGGTAACTCGTAATGACATTAAAAAGTAAGTTGTAAAGAACCTGCACAAGGCACGCTTGGCTCGTGCTGTATTTCGTGCAGTTAGTGTGGCACTTGTCTAAGAAGTATTGCAAACCAGTCGTCAGCAAGCACGCTAATTTCACAGAAAGCGAGTGTGGTTCTGGCAGTCACCGGCAGCACACCTGTCAGCACCCATCCGACCCGGTCCGTCCACAGCGACCCGGCGGCCGGCGCCGAGTGGCGGATCAATCAGTCACCGTTCTGACATGGCCACTAATAAACCCATCAGGCTAACACTTACCGGCGTCTGTCGGCGGCTCGGCTGCAGCGGGCGGGTCGCACGGGTCAACAGGGGTCGGCGCGGGTCACTCGGGTGGGCGGCACACGCCACCGATTCAGTCTCTCAGTTCGTGCGCTCGCTCGCTCACGCGCTCTCTCTGCTCGCTCGGCCGCGCCGTCCGAGAGCAGCTGCTGTCTCGGCGCCGTCGGGCGCACTACTGAACCAAATAGTGGCCGGTCGGCGGCGGCCGGCCGCCGCTGGCCGCTGCCCGGCCGCCGGCCGACATTGGTCAGCCGAGCGGCGGTCCAGTTTCAGTGGCGACACGCCCAGCCGGGGGCGGGGCCTGGCCGCCCCCCCCCCCCCCTGTGGCCCCCGGCGCCGCGGGCAGGGCTGGCCCGGTGACCTGAGGGCTGACCACTGAGGCGGATCGGCCTGCCGGCGTGTCGGATTGGCCGGCAGACGCCGCGGGGCTGGCCGCAGATCCTGCCGCAGAGAAAAGATGCCGCAGCATCACGGCCTTGGCCGGCGATCGTCAGATACTGCTGTATGGTGGGATGCTTCTGGGATGCCTCGATAGGGGTTCTCAGTGGGACGGTACTGCATGGAAGGCCATCGCTGGCATCGCTGATGGTTAAAACCGCGATGTGAACGGCAGTCGATTGATGCGCGCTTTGGAATGCCTCCGTCAACTAATGATAAAACTGCATGACATTGAAAGGACTTAATGATGATATGACTCTATGATATGAAATGGTTAAGTATTACTGGTCAGTTTGACACGAGTATACCTATAAGTTATGAATTAGGTAATCCTTTTTAGGTCTTCCTTGTAACTGAAGGGAATGTCCTCTGCAATGCATATGTATCCTTCTTCAATGCATTTTTTATATAAGAAACATTTATGTATCCCCTATTGAAACGTCCTAATTTACAAAACTGACTACCGGAGCGTTATGTCCACGACTAAAGTCCGTTTATTTGAATAAAAATCACAGGCTAATGCTTACGATTGACATGTCCTTCAAATGCTCTTTTTGCAATGTCCTCTATTGTCCCAAACGGAAGACTCCGCATTCAAGCAACGATATGCCATGTTTGTCGTTTGCAGCATCTGAATCAAGTCGGATAATGTTATTCACAACACGTTTGTTCAGTAAAGCTTGCACACAGTAGGTGCGTCCGACTGCGCCCCGAACAGGCAGAATAAAATCAAACAAGGCGTGGCGCAGTCCCGGTCTACAGAGTGCAGCTTCGTATCAGCATAATGATCATCCAGACTGGTCCTGGGGCGAACGGCGGTACTGTGGTATAAATCGGACGCCAATGAATTGTTTGCCTCACTATTGTGAGCCTCGGACGTGCAAGGCCATTCAGCAAGGCTGGCAGGCTTAACATGGGTTTATTTTTCTTGCCTGCACTACATTCACCGGGAACGGCGCCCATGCTCTGAAATTGGTCCACTTATGCTTCTCATTAACGCTCATTCATTCATTTATCATCGCCGTGCAGTATTGCATAGAACGCGTTTACATGCAGCATCAATTAAGACTGTGACAACATAAGTAGAGCATCATGAATTTTAAAAAGATGGGGCTATCGCTCATCGCGAACCCCGCCTAATTACGCCATGATCTAAGCGCGGCGACCGCGCCGCGACACACCCCGCTGCCGGGGAAACTGCTCGGGCGCGCTCCTCTGACGGCCCAGCCGCCGCCGAGCGCTGTTTGTTTTTGCACCTGTTGGCTTACCGTTGTGTGTGGCGAGGTTTGGCCCCTCACCGTTCCGCGTGGGCGCAAGCCGCCAGGGTGGTCCATTGGCAATTATCCACGCCACCGCGTCCTCCCATTTCGCCCGCTCAGCTATTGCAGAATACATATATGACCGGTCGTTTGTGAAATAACTGATCAACAGAAATTACACAGGCGAAAGCAATTAATAAACAAACTGCCAGCAATCACTATAAACTCATTTGGAGGGGGCCGTATTTTCTTGAACATGGTCAATCACACTGTTGTATGTGTGCATTAATAGCTGCACCACTTACGGTGCCGAGCAATGAAAACGGCGGCGCAGAGCTCGTTCTGGCCCGATGACAGTGATTACGGGACGTCTCCATCGGCGTGACGTCACTTTCACAGGTGATTGCGCGGCAATCAAGTCACCATGACAGATTGGCGGCTGTGGCACAGTCAGGGGCGGATCCAGAAAATCTCCAAGGGAGGGGCCATTAGAAACCAGGAGGCCCCCCCATAATCCCACCTGTTGGAGGCCCCATCTTCCCACTTGTTGGGCCCCCCCAAAAAAAACTGCGTCTATTGAGCTTATCTAGCTGTTCAGGCAACATCTCAACATCTGTGCAGGCTTGGAGGCCCTCTGTGCAGGTTAGGAGGCCCTGTAAAAGTGGTCATCTCTGTGAGTATAAGAGACCTCCAAGTTATGAAAAGCTTTACCAATCTTCTAACAAAGAAGTCTTCTCAGCTAGTCTTCTAAGAAATAACTAAGTGGGTAAGTTAAAAAAAAAACTCATCGGATTTCGGCCACTTTATTTTCAGGAGGCCCCCTTTTCAGCTTTTTAACTTTTTAACTTTTTATTTTATTTTTGAAAAAAATCGGCCAAGGGGGGGCCATGGCCCCCATGGCCCCCCCCTTGTATCCGCGCCTGGGCACAGTGCACCTATCACAACTATAAACATAGGGACTTTATACATTGATCCTACAGACATTGACCTATTTATCATGTATGCCATTCTCTCTATCCTCAGGATTATCCGTTCCCATGATCACATTTCCTTATTCCAGGCCATGCCAGTCAACCAAGGGGGCATCTCAAGTAAGAGCATACTATTTCTGGGTGGTTGGCCTGCCCTATCGGAGCACTCCCGTTCCAATGAACGGAACTGCGACTGTGGAATCAATCGTTAGTCGGTGGCGGTCGAATCAGCTCAATGTTTGTAGGTGCCTAATGTCTTTTCCACGGCCCTGAAATGGTCTCAATTGGCCGAAACGGCCTAACACAGCAAAACAAAACACTTGGAATAAATAATTTGCTATGGACGTAGAAAAGACCAACGAAAAACAAAGAAGCGGTAACCATCATAAAAATGGAACGATCACCTATGGCAACAATCAGAAGAAGCGTAACGTAATGAGTACCAGTGGCTAAATTGCGGCGTGGGTCTGTTTCCGCTTCTCTCTAATCACAGATAAAGCTCCCGGCTTAGCCAGTCCCCTTGGCCTTGTCTGCAGTTCCTGGTGAGGTCCACAGCTCCCGTGTCGTATCCGCGGGTGCCGCTCCCGGTGCGGCCCGCAGCTCCCCCGCCTCAGCGGCCGTTTGATGCACTGTGATCTGTATGTTGTCGCTTACGTCATTGCCAATCGTTCGGCCCGAGCAGTTACGTGACGGCAAATTGCCGGCCGTATTTATCACCTCGTATGAATTGCTGTACTAAATGATGCGTTGGGAAGACGCCTGCAGTGAAGCGTTATTACAATCGACAGGCGAGCCAACCGCAGTACAATCACCGTATATTCAATCACATTGTATTCAGCCATCATCATTGCATCAATGCAGAGTGATCATTACAGCGTCGTTACGTTTCGCCGTCCGCTGCCAAACTGCTCTGTGCGCGGTTCCCAGTGTTGGGGCTGTCCATCACAGCTCTCTGATCATCTCTGACCGAACCTGCGTCCATCACAGCAACTCACGAGTCTCGAGAGCAGCTGCAGATGACGTGAGCTGGCAATAACCATGTGTCATCACCGTCACCGGCTGTCGCCACTGCTGTGCCGTCGGTATGACCTCGACCGGTAGCCGATCACGCTTTTTCTGATCACTCTGAAGTCGACGATCTGATGAGGGGTGCGGTGGGGTGGAGAATCGATGAGCGAGCGCTTGCGGCGAGCCCTGTTCCGAATTCGAGACAAGCGCGTTGTCTGATACACCGCTAATATAGACAAAATCGTCTCATAGAATGTCGATTTTTGTCAAAGTAGGACGACAGTCAAGGGGTATTGATTTAATATCTGACGTGGGTCACATTCACCATGATGTTTTTACCCTCCCGCTATGTTTCATAGCGATAAAGTCATAACATATAAGCACAGCAGATATCACTTTATCGGTCGACCATTGAAGGTTAGAAGAAATCACCGAAAAATAAAGATGATAATCTGGCGCTTCGTCGAGCTTCTGGTTTTGAGCTCGGCTAAGTGCTATTGCACCATGAGATGTTGCTGCAAATATGGCCCTTTTCGCCTTGCAACATAATTCATTCTCTAGGCCAGTGTTCCGTATTAATCGCTTAAACACACTCCTGTCGTAAATAATGTCTGCAATATTGCCGCTAATACGACATATAAGCAACCCACCTTTCCTCTTGTACTAAAATATAACGGTCATTTATTTGTTCAGGGTCTTGCTTTAGTACATCGAATACCCAAAATAGACCACCCCTGACGAATTGGCTAATAGAGGGATCGGTAGACATGAAGGTCAGATAGAAGCTCCAGCTTGGTTGATCATAGATAAATGGGGAAAAGACAGAAAGAGGAAGAAGAAAAACAGAGATAGGAAGAGAGATAGAAACAGAAAGAAAACAGGGACAGAGACAGAGACAGTGACAGAGACAGAGACAGAGATAGGTAATGTTCTGTTCTGGTCTCCTACTCCAAATCAACCTCAACTATCAATTAGTGGCTGTTACCGTTCACCATCGTCTAAGTCTATAATTGGTAACAGCCACCGTCTCACACCCGTCCCAGGTCATGGATGGCAGACAGGTCAGCACTGTTATCCTAAAGCGACGCCACTTTTCTCTTCCTCTAGGTCCCACACCACACAAACACGTCGGAAACAAGTCATCCCCTTCCTCTCACATAATGACTGGTCACCTTTACTACTCCATTGTGACATTCCAGCTCTCCTTCTCGTCCCTGACCGATTGGTCAGTCCTCTCCCAGTCCCCTCCCAGTCCCCTGGTGACCGGTTGGCGCCACTGTCCCACACAAAGCGTCGCTTCCCGGCTGGTCAGCGGCGCTGGGCATTGCGTGCTGTCGGAAGCGACCCAGTATCGCCCGCTTCTCCCCGGCCCTGCGGGAGCGTTAGTGACCATCAGGCCGCTCCAATTAAAGCACCAAGGCTGGCCGATGAGCGTCCGGATAAGGCGGCGACCGGTCCTGGACGGGAAAGGCCACCCGGAGGAGGGAGAGACTGGTCCTGGAGAGAGCGAGAGAGAG